GGGGGGGGGGGGGGGGGGGGGGGCTTATGTAGGTTTAGATGTTATATTACCTGCTGGCCAGTAGGAGGTGCCACATAACTAGTTTCGTCCTTATTGGGACTCTTCAGGCCCAGCTAATATAAAGTCTAAAGAGGTGGTGGTCTTGGGGCTTCTAGCATGAGAGCATATGGAAAAAAGGGAGGCCTACTAGCGTTGCTTCTCTAAGACCTCCCTTCCTCCAGTCTACTGACAGCCAAGCCAAGGTAGCACTAAAGCTAAACCACTGTCCAAGCGCAAGGTCCCTGGGTTCAAACAGGACCCATTAAAGGGCTGAACGTAGAACATCTAATGTGTCTCAGAAAGGACGAAAATAGACCTGGACTGCCGCTTACATCTAAAGTCGGACATTCGTTAACTCAGATTTATCATAGAACAAATTTAATACTCCAATAAATTGATATAAATAAATGTGTCCATTCCAGACAAATGGCTGTCCAGTCTTTTCTTGCAAACCTCCAAGGATGGAGCACCCATGGGTTCAGGAGGCAGGCTGTTCCGCTGCTTCGTAGCTCTCGCCGTCCCGAAATTCCGCCTTGGTTCAAGTTTGGGCTTTTCACTGCAAAGCTCCCACCCGCTGATTTTGCCCCCCCACCCCCGTCGACATATGGAGAATAAATCCACCCCCTCTTCCCTTGACATCCCTTCACATATCGGAAGTTGCTCTCGTGTCTCTCCTGCGCCTCCTCCTGCAAACATACCCAGTTCTTCGAACGGCTCTTCGTAGGACTTGGCCTCCAAGCCCGACCATCTCTGTTGCTCTTCTCTGCACTCTTCCCAGTTCCTCAGCATCCTTTTTGGATTGTGGCATTTAGTGTATTTTGCATTTGCGTTTAATGCCTCCTTTGAACCTAGTCAAGCTGGTATGAACCCTGTTGGATAGTGGGAGGCATGTGGGGGGGCATCCTGTGGCATCTCCAGAAACATTGCGGTAGGTGCAGTCAAGGTCAGTGTTTTTCAACCTTGGCAACTTTAAGGTGGGTGGACTTCAGCTTATGCTGGCTGGGGAATTCTGGGAGTTGAAGTCCACCCATCTTCAAGTCAGCAAGGTTGAAAAACACTAAATTAGATTTATTAACTAACTTGGTCTCAAGCTTCACTCAGCTGGCTGAGATCAAGGAATCAGGGGAGGGAGTATTTAATGCTGGTTTGGGGTAAATACAAAATCTTGGAAATTGCAGGAGGAATTTCCCACTCTAATTCTCTGTTCTCAGAGAGTTGAGGTGGTTAAAAGCTGGCAACAACCTCTCCTTCTATCTTAATTGTTGAGGCTCCCCACCATCTCCCATCCTTGGCTTGCTAAATCATATTCCCTCCCCCAACCGGCTTATATAATAAATAGAATAAACCGGATTCACACAACACCTTGCACCATAAGGCCTGGTGTGCTGTACATCTCAGGGGCTGCTGAAACATCACAGAAGGTCCAACCCGAAGTCTGGCATAACAAAATGGGCAGACCCAGCCCCTGAATCACGGCTTCCAAATCTTTTGGGGGGAAGAAGTGGAGGGTTTGGGCTGAAAAATTGCCCGGCTGACTGACAGGGGAGAGGCGCAACACCCGAGCAATAAAACGCCCACCGCTTTTGTTTTCCACCAGAAACGTTTGCTCATAAACCGCAAGCGTGGCCTTGAGGAAGAGCCTCGATGCGGAGGCCCTCAGAAACCCACGGCTGGCCCGCCGCCATCCAGAGCCCTCGGCACCCTGGCAAGGCGCTCCCCGCCGTCGCCCCCCGGAGGACCTCCAGCCCGCGCCGGGCAAGGCTGACGGGGATCGAAAGCCGGCCCGGCCCCGGACGCCTCGCCAAGGGGGCGCCCG